CTATTAATTAAAAAATTTATTTTTTTATAGTTAGATTTTTATTTGCGCTGGAATTTTTTTAATAATTTTCAATGAATCGGTCACGATAACGCGAATTTTGTTGGTATCGATCTGCTGAAGCATTCGATTCTTCTGGATGTGGTGCGTTTGAAAGAATTAGTACATTCGGCTTGGAAATATTGTGGAGTTCGCCTTTTGCGACTATAACATTTTTCGCCGTTTGTAATTTCAATTGGATTCCATTAAAGCATATGCGAAACATTTCTTGCGCATATATGTTTTTTTTGATATATTTTTTGGCGGTTATTGAGCAAATGGTTTGCTCTAAATGGAGTTAAGAGAATTTTGGCCTTTAATAATGTTATCCATTGATCCTAATTTTCGCTTTATATTCGATAAACGGAAAATTCGGGAGTCATGCGCAGACCCTCTCCAACGGGTGACAATATCCAAAATTTTATATTGCGAATCACAAATTATCACGATATGTAATTTACGGCGTTTTCGTTTCTACCAAAAAATTTTACCCTTTCGTTGCCCTCTTTTAACAAATGCTGAGAGGGCAATGAAAACATGAAAATTTTTTTTCAGCCATTCTAAAATGTAGGGAAATGTTCTTTATTGGAAAACGCAAAAATATGAACTACCTAGCCGGGGATGCCCTATCATTTGGTCGTATTACCGACTTATAATCGAAAGTTTTCTTAAATGGGACATGCATGTTTTTACTAGAGATTCTGATTCTGAGGACTAAAATACGTAACTTTCATTGGCAAGTTTTTTCTGGAATGGACGTAGGGTTAAAAGTATTGACTTCAGGTCTATTTAACCCACTTTCGGCTGAAACCAGAAGTGGGTAATACGACCAAAAGATATAGCATCCCCGACTAGGTACTTTATATTTTTGCGTTGTCCAATAAAGAACATTTTCCTCCATTTTAGGAGGGGTGCATGGGTGGTCCAGGACACCCCGTAAATAGCATTCGATTGAACGCATTATGTACGTATGCAAGAATGATAGAATACAAGATTGCGCCGTCCTGAGCGTTGACCTGTGTAAACCGCAAGTAAACAAAGAATAAGCTTAGTATCCAGCTCTTAAGAAAACGGTCAAGAAAAAATTGCCATTATTTCGCGTGTGTGCCCAAGGAATTTTGACATTTTTGATAACGCACAGCCTGTTGCCTCACTCTTTCCTCAAGAAATAATGGAACGGGCATATATTTCTGTTGCAAACCGGGGTGCCTTGTGCTCTTTTTTCACAAAAAACTTTAGAAAACCGTAGTAGAAAGCGTACTAAATTTCTGAAGAACTGCGTACTGCCTTAAGGAAATTTGACTAAGAAAATTTCTTAGCCATTTCTTGTACGTCATTTTATATGGAGTTTTTGCTTTTCTTAAGAGCTGGATACTAAGCTATAGAGTGAAAAGAAAACGAGTTGAAACTGCCAAAACAGTTCACTTTACAGCGAAGAACGTGTTTTAGTTTTGCTAAATGCGAAAATACTGGTAACATTTTAGTGAACCCCATTGCCTTGCAATTGAGGCTGCTTCAGCAAACGTTTTAACGCACATCTCAGCGGGATTGATTAGTTAACTTGCTAATGGAGGCTGCTTGGAGCAGAAGCAAAATCATTGTGAGGAAATGCTGTTAATGTAATAATAAAGAAATATTTCGGGAACGGCTTTGCCGTGCCCTATGTACACAAAATGCAGCGATTCGTCCCAGCGCTACACTTGTATCTACGCATCTTGTATCTTGATGGCTGTCGCAATTTAACACACACCACTTCATTTTATTAGTTTCTACGCAGTCTTCAACTCAAAAATCACTCACAAATTGCAAATTAACACAATTTAAACTGATTTTTCACTTATAATTCAAATTTCTCTTTCGCTGATTTGTAAACAAAGGTTTATTTACAAGTTACCACAACTGTAAAAACCGGCAAAACCAAAGTAGCGGTACCACTGACGGCGCCATCTTTGTTCGCTGCACCGTGGTACGTATGCACATACATACTTGAACATTTAGTGAATAAAATCCTTTTCGGCACCTATGTCTTGCTCCTAACTCACCTCCAGGATTTGTAATTTTGAAACGTGAACAATCTATCGCCCCAATACTTTGGGGAAACCCAAATTTATTGTAAAACCCTTTTTTTATATTGTTTATTTCCTCTTCATTATTAGGGAAAGAGATAAACGTTGACATTTTCGAAGCCAGTGCTTCAGCTACGATTTTTATAACGTTCGTCATCGATTGTTGCGAAAAATTGTGTAGCCTGGCTGAAAAATAAGAGAAAATTACACGTAAAGGAATACAAACCAGCAATATGTACTTACCAATATCTTTTTGATATTGTCCTTTGCCTATGTATCTAAGAAACGAGAGAACCATGTCTTCAGGGCTAAGAGGTCTTCCTCTGCGATTTTTGCGTTGCAGTTTATGGAGGATCATATCTATTATTTCCATTGCCGATGCCTTATCGAATCTAAGGGCACAATGGTCACATAATTTTCCCTTTATGAATATACATACGTATGTAATGGTAGAAACTTACCGTAAAAGTTTACAAACTCATCATCGGTGTATTGAGTAAAAGGATTGATCCCAAGAATGATAGAATACAAGATTGCGCCGATCAGAGAGGATTTTTGAGAATAACTTTTGTGTGACGTCACACTGGTGCAATTGCGAGAGAGGAATGCCAAAACGTGAGCAAGAATGGAAGAAGAAGAAAAAATTTTGCAAGGGAAATGTAAACAAGTTGCACCAGTGTGACGTCATGCAAACAACGATTCTGTCAAATTCGTTAAGAGAGGAATAGCGGTCCGAGATCGGCGCAACCTTTGTATTCTCTCAATCGTGGATTGATCCTATCTCTATAAATCTTCCTTTTTCGAGTTGCTCTATTTTCTCGCAAAAGCTGAATGTCAATAAAAATAGATGCATCCGATATCATTTTGTCATGTTTTCGCATAAACTTATTAAAATATTTCATTAAAATTGTTGCTTAAATTTTGTTTACTTTTTTGACGGTGTCTTCGGCAAACTGACTTAAACGTCAAAGTCTATATTAAAGACTTAATTTCAAAGAAAGCACTTTTAACTCCATATTATTCTCATTTTATCGAAATGAGTAATTAAGTTGTCTATTGGTACGAAATTTTAGAGAATGTTAACATTATCGCTCAATGTCTATATTATTTTTCTTTATTGGTTGGGCTGTAAGTTTTTATCTATTGAAAATGCATCGTCTCCTTTAAAATAATATGTGATTTTAGTGCCCTGTCCGGGGACTACATCTGATGGGTTTGGAATATTTAGTGAGCCATTTTTCAGCCCGCTGAAGAGATAACCCTCTTGATAGATTGTGCTATCTGATGCTTTTTCATTGCAGCCCACGTCCGTGAAGAGAAATCTGCCATGCGTATCTACCAAAGCAAATAGGATGATACTATAAAATCCCTTGAAATTATAAAATTGTGTTCCAGTTTTTGCTGGGGCTTTTAAGCGAATGTGTTCCTATCTAGAACACCCAGAGTATGCGGAAATTGCCACAGTTTGTCAAATGCTGAAGCCTTATCTAACCACTCGTCTTCGGTTGCTGGTACCTAAATAGACATATACATAAATGTAAATAAGTTAGCAAGGAAACAATTAGTTACATTAAAAATATGTATATTGAGCCCAAACTGTTAAATTATATTATTTAAATTTGTCTTTCAGAACATCCTAAATAAGTCAATTTATGTGGATGACACAACAACTTCCAAGTCTTTTGATTCTGACATCTCCACTCTGTCATCTTCGAGGAAAAGGAAACATGAAGATGAAATAAATACAGACAAACTCGATGAAGCGATTGACAAAATTGTCAACATCAGTAAACCCACAGTTGATGCTTTTAGTATTTCGCAGACGCTTCGTGCCATGCCCGAAGAAACTGCGTATCTAACTACGAAAGAAATACAAGACTTATTGTTCCAACGTAAATTTAGTAAAGTGGAAAACAGTACGGAGTTTGAAATAAGAGAAACAGGATCGCCAGACACACATGGTTCTAACATACTCTACTTAGCAATGCCATCTGTAGAAATAGATCCACTGATCAACGAGGATTCGTTTTTGTATTAAAAATAAATAAACAAACTAACACCCCTATTCCGCAACTCTTTCGTATTCGGATCTTGCTACGAATCGTAGAAATAGTATGCTGCAATCCGAATCGTATTTTCGAACTTTCGAAATTCGTAACAATGACATGCCCAAAAATGAACGAGTAAGTTTTTTTGCGTAATTTTGTACGACAATTCTGTGTCGGAGGCGAAATAAAAGATGTAAATCAATGTGTGTTTGCAATAAATATTTTGGTGGTGTTCATTTAAACAGAAAAATTTGCCTTTTGCATATACGTATGTTTTTATCCACTGTTTTATATAAACAAGGAAATAAGAATCTTTGTTGCCCCTTATCGAGAAACTTGGGTCCGGCTTAGTTATTTGTACAACAATTTTCTGTTGTTGTGTCCAAACGCAAAGACCGAACCCAAAAACTTTAACATACATGTGTAATCAAAGGATTCGCATTTTTTAAAGATAAATGTATAAAATTTTCTACCACTAGCTTATTAATAAACTCAGTTTGCACTTTGCACTTTTTTGCAAATTTCGACGTGGGTTCTGCGCAAAAATACTGTGGACGGCGTAGCCGGAGTGATATGCACAAGAAATGTTGTATACATTTGACATGCGGAAGCCCCTCTTCCCCGCAACATGGAAAGGAGAATTCTACTTGGTAAGGGTTATGATCCCTAAGAGCGGCCGAAGGCAGAAGCAGGTGCAACAAGTGGTGGACCTAACAAAGTGCATGTTTGCAATGGCTTGGAAGAGGCTGTTATTGCATTAACTGGATTGATAACCAGATCTTCAGGCATAAGTATTCTGGCTTGTGGTTCAACAATTCAACCAGAAGCTGACATGGATGCGTCCATGGATACCTTTGTAAGTCCATTGCCATAGCGCGCTTTTACTCCGCTGCTATAACTGAAAATGCATCAGAATCCATAATTTTCCTCAAAATATTGAAAATCAATAAATTTTACTATAAACAAGCACATAGCTGGCAATGCTGCACATGTTTACGCAAGGTAGTGTAGCTTCGAATTACGAATTACGAAAATCGGGTTCTAGAATAAGGGGGTTAAGTACATATCGTCACCGATAACTTCGCATACTATCCGGCATGTTCTGCAAATCGTACGATTTCAAATCGGTGGGATTTGCAAAGTATCGTTGTATATTAGTAATCAAAGTATTAAGTGTTTCAAATGGAAACTGCTAGAAACACATCATTTACGTTATATCAATCGACTTAGCGCCAAATTTTTCTTTCTTCGTTATAGATCCTTCGAAATAGGTTTTGTACATCGTACCGATTTGAGATCGTACGATTTGCAGAACATGCCTGTATATTTATTATGAAATAAAATTTCTCTATCGATATCTGAAACAGATAGGTACGCATACTATTTTCTATTCTTATTCAACTATCTCGGAAATGAACATGTAGTAAGCAGGGCTCGTATTTGCATACACATGCTCTAGCTCACACACCAGTTGGACCCAAATTCAACCAATATTTCTGTGGACATTTGGCAAAACAACTTAAGTCTATCTTTCGCGGACAAAGAAAATAGCACATGTCGACAAAGCTCTTTTTAACGTCAGAGCAATCAATTTTATTTAAATTAAAACATGCAGTTGCAAACCGAAGCATTCTTAAAGGTTGCGAATAGCGATAAAAAAATTTCACATTTCTTTCGAATTACAACATTTTGCTCTTCGACGGTAAAATATATTTTGTCGATATATGCTATTTTGTATGACATAAGTTGTTTTTGTACAGACATAAGTTGTTTTGTCAAATGTCCACAGAATTGTTTATATAATGAATTTAATTTTTCTTTATTAAACCGTTGATTGTAAACATAAGAAAATGATATCCGCTCTTGTTTAGAACACGAGCGATGAAAGCTGTTTACTCTGGCAAGCATGCTGAAAGAACTTTCAGCACTAGCTACTGGGTACGGTTTCGTTATTTGTACAATGCTTTTGAGTTGTTGTGTCCAAACGTGTGACTCGAATCAAAAAACTTTATCATAAGCGTGTAGTCAAAGGATTAGGTTTTAATTTAAAGTAAAGATTCAAATTTCCAAGCAATAAGTTTTTAATAAATTTGGTAAGAAGTTATGTGTAAAAATACTGTGGATAGCATAACCGGAGTTTATATTTTTGATGTCGAAATAACATTTTGTGAGGATGTGCTGCACATGCGTGGGCAAATACGATCCGTGGCAGTATGAACCCATACTTTTAAATATTCGGGCCGCAAGGTTTCATAGATAGCACGTAGCACACCTGGAAGAAAGAGGCTAATGGTGCTCTTTGAATGAATACCCTGTTTCCAAATACCTTAGCGTTATAGCCAATTTCGTTCTTGGTGTAATGGCATCCCGCTGATTAAGGTCTGTCATCTTCAAGCGTTAATTTACATTTTATATACAAATAGTTTTAACTTTTTGAGGCATTAATATGCATATATATACATACATACCAAATGCAAAATTTCTTCAAATTTCGGAAATCCTTCTCATCGTCGTTCCAAAGGAGGTCTTGTAGCAAATGCGCATCGAGGTTGTGTTCGTTTGGTTTCGCCCAACACGTCCGATCTTGTCCGAGCTTTGCGAATATATATCTCACGCAAAAGCTGTATTGCTGCTATTTTCGTTGCAACGACGGACAGTTTTCATAAATTATTGCAATTTTTCCAAATAAAACAAAACCACTACACGAAATTGACATGAAACGACAAAACCAGCGGCTGCTGAACAATGTATTGAAGCAGAAATGGTTTCGCTCAATACGTCCGAACTTTCTTTTTTCCGATTTTCGCTTCGCGAATATATATCTCACGCAAAAGCTGTATTGCTGCTATTTGCGTTGCAACGACGGACAGTTTTCATAAATTATTGCAATTTTCTCAAATAAAACAAAATCACTACACGAAATTGACACGAAACGACAATACCGGCGGCTGCTGAAAAGTGCATTGTATTTGTAATTGTCTGGACGCCTACGTTACACAAGCATGGTGCAATCCCGTATTCCTCGGACTCGGACTAGTAAAACTGTCAAAAAATAAAAATTCGCTCAGAGCGAGAGAGGAACATTGAAAGGTACGGGATCGCTTTCTAGTGAAAAATGGTAACTTCTGTCAACTTCAACATAACCTCCAAATTTTGGTTGTAAATTTTTGCTTATTTTGTATGTAAACACACTCAGCTCACACATGTAAATAACCAAAAATACTTTCAAATTTATTAGAATCCACTTAAACAAGTAATTAAATACTTTTCAACATGAATTAGCAGAGTGCACTTTTCTTTTGTTTACAATTTGGTTGCCAAACACACTACAGCTGATCGTTTGATACATTTACTAGAATTTACCAGCAAAAAATTGTCGGACTAAAACTGGTAACTTCTGACAGAGAGAGAACCGTATTTACTCTCTTTTTTGACCTCTCAATAGTCAGAGAACTGAGTACGGGATCGATTTTCAGTAAAATCTGACTGATTCTGACTATTTCTGACTAGTCCGGACTCGTACGGGATCGCAACTGCAAGTTTTCTCTTCTTTGACAACTAATACATATTCTCAATTGTCTTGTCTCGAATTGTCTTATGTAAACGCAGCGTAATACATGCATACTTTTCCATGCACGCGTTTTGCTCAAAGCCTGGTTAACATTAATCATCGGTTAACATCGTTATCGACGTTTTCGACTCCATGCATATAACACGGGATTATTGTCAACCAGGCTTTGAGCAACCGGCCCTAATATGTATATTTTCATGGTCTGGACAGCATTGTCCAATGTAAACGCGCCGTAATCGACTAACCGAGAAGCCGGATAGTCGATTTTTAACAAGAGCTCTTGTAAATAACTAATACCATGTTTGGACCAGCAGAGAAAACGCTTTGAAAACGAGTTTTGAGATTGAGGGCTGAAAGCGGTTCGCACCGGCTGTTAGTGTTTTTGTGGACATTTCTTTCATCCTTTTTTACAGTTTTGCTACGAAAAAACTAAAAACATCAAAATCTTCGTCTTTCATTTTCTTATCATTAGCAACCTTTTTCTTTTGTTCATATTTTAATTTGGCCATCCAATTGACAATAATCCCAACTAGCGTATTAAAGATGATAAAATATGACTTCCACTTCGATAAATATATCTAAAATACTAGTGAAGACACCGATTGGAATGAGTGGAACGTGAGTTTTCAAGTAGTTTTTTGTGAAAACTGGTTTTCGTTTGACAGATTTTCATGGACGAAAACACAAGTTTTAAGCCGAAAACCAGTTATAGCAACGAAAACATGTTTTCGATGTCGGTCTGAACATGGAATTAATCAAGGCTATTCAAAATTTTTATATTAAAGTGCAAATCGAAACGCAAATGCTTGTAGAAAGAACATTTACAAGTGTAGAATATTTCGCTGATAGCTACAAGTTTAAAAAATAATATTGTGTTACAAAAAATTATAGAGCTTGTAGTACAAGCGAATCGCTAATAACTTGTAGACTTATTACAATTGTAAACTTTGTGTTACAGGCATTGTGCAAACCTCTACCACATATGTGGTCTACCACTGTTTAAAAATGTGAAAGATGTATCTACCACATATTTCTTTTAAATTTAGGTTTCTACCACATCTTTCACATTTTTAAACAAAACATTGGTTTATAACTTTCACATAGCTCTAAAATTTCAACCCAATTCTAATGAAAAATATAAAAAATAATAAGTAGATAAATTCTTAAAACGGTATATCATGAATTTGGCTTTAAATATATCCGTGCTTTAACTTTTTAATATTTCAGAAATCCGCATATTTATATGCATTTGCTGTAATGAAGCGTTTTTATTTGAAGGCCCCGACGCTTCTGTTTTCTATACCAGGGGTAACTCGAGGTGCCGAGGGTCCGTTACAATATAAATTTATATTGTGGGGCCTTTGCAAATAGTACTTTATTTAATTATTCTTATCCTCTAAAACGTTTTAATTCTTAATTTCTATGAACATAATAGTGCGACGAATACTGCGGCAACGCGAAGCG